ATTATGGTACACGATTCGTGTACCAATGGTAAATTGTTTATTTTGTCTTAAATATTGGATATCAAAAGCCAATCTTTTTCCGGTAAGATCACAACATGAATGTTGATTTAATTTGACAAATAAATCGTGTTTTCAATGTTGAAGATTTTGGATGATATTGAGTTAGAGACTTAGCTACTTTAACTGATACTAACAGGAATTTCTCTTTGACGGGCTACAGGAAGCCACTCTCCCTAACAACCAACAATCCCAACCCGATCCCACTAGAATGATCATGACATTGATAACAAATAAAACTGAAGTATTTTTTCTTTCATATTTTCAATGTACTCAAACAAAAATATTGTTTTTCATATCTTATGATGACGTCAACAACATACATTTCTGTGACTTTTAAATTTCAGTTTCTCCGATTAATCTAAATTTATTTGAACAATAACGTAAATTCTAACGCACATTTACCGCATTTGTTTATTAAGTTTTTTATTGATGTATTTTATGTAATTTCAGCAAAACCGTCACAGAAGTTTATGGCATCAGATACGACAACAGATTTCTCAGATCCAACTACCAGCGAGTCTCCAACATCACCAGTTTCAGACAGCACAGTCGAAACAACCTCATCGTCAGAAGGTACAGAGACAACGACAGACTACACAGGACCCACATCCAGTGACCAAACATCACCCCAATCGTCGCCCTCTTCGGGTACATCATCACAAGCACCACCTGCTAGTTCTTCTGCTTCAAATCTACCACCAGGTTCAACCACAGCAGCCCCATCATCAAGTGGTTTTGACGGGGGTTCCTTTGCTGGTGGAATAGCTTTGGGTGTCGGTCTTGTAATAATCAGTTTTGCGTTATACCGATGCTACACGTTAAGGAAAAATGGACAACAGAATTACAAAGCGATGTAGAGACCGTTTTTTGTTCTTAAAGTGACAGAATAAATCCCAATTTATGTGTTGTGCATCTGGTAACTGACTTGAAACAAATGACTTACTATTTATTATCCATTACTGTTGGAAACAATATAAATCATTGAACCACATATAAGACGTTGCGGAATGTTTGGTAGCATAATAATAATGATGATATATTTCAGCGGTCCATGAATGCAGTTAACATTTTCTTTTTAAAAAGTCGTCTTGAAATCACAGAGTCCTGTTTACATTTTTTATTTCAGTACTATAATACTCTATCTAATGAAGACTGACATAATACAAATCTTCTATTTTTGTTATTAATTAGATGATAATTGTGCAATTTGCCAATCTCCTATTTTCAAGTTTACAACAAATGTTTAATAGTTGAAATGTCAAAATCATTTGTGAATCATCAATGTAATGCAAATCGAGTATATCAGTTACCATTGCAGGAGTAAATATGGCGTAATACCAATAATGTTATTTTGTAATAAAAACCAAAAGCGACAACCCCACCTAATAAGTAGAAGGAAATCCTAAAATTGAAAACTGTATATCTCATATACAATGTACTATTCACCATAATTTGATGGGAGTTTGTTTTGTGATCAGTAAGGTGTGTAGAATAGAACTGCATACATTTTCATTTGTAAGGGCCCGGGGCTACTCGGACATTAATGGTTTGAAAAAAAAAATAATCCCAGTGTACTGCTCATCTAGCACGGTGTGCGGTTGACTTCTGTGCGTGCAGTTTTTATGGTGCCGTTTTAAAACTTGAACATAATATATATATATTCGCCACAGTATTATGTATTATATATGTAGATTATTTTTATATTGTACCTTACAGCAAATTATTAGTCATATTATCAAAATAGCATCAACAATTGGGGTTCCTATATAAAAGGTGTAGGCTGTATATTGTATTTTTCTTTAAAAAAAAATAAATTCTTTTTGAAAAAAAAAACCGAACCCAAAAAACGACCCCCCCCCCCCAAAAAAAAACCCCCAAAAAAACAAAAACAAAAAACCACACAAAAAACCCCAAAACAAACCACAGTTGTGTTGTTACCTTTTAGGCTAACTACCTCATACTAGTCCGGAACCGCCTAATATTCGGAAGACCGGAGGTTGTGGAGGCGGAGGTTGTGGTGAGACGTAGTGGAAATGAACAGGGGAAAGATGTTGATTATAGCGTCGGTAGGTCTGGAAATGCAAAGTGGGCCACATGAGACTTGGGTGACAGTGCGGCAATTGAAAGTTACTAAATTGAAATTTTAGGTACAAGAGAAAAATAACATGGCTCTATTTAGCTTACGCAAATTTATGTCCGAGGCCCTTCGACATAGAAATTAAAATACATGACAAATAAACAAGTTATTGACTAGATTTTTGTCCCCCGCCTTTCGAAGAAAGCAGGGGACTATTAAAATGGGTTCGTCCGTCTGTCTGTCTGTCCGTCTGTCTGTCCGTCACACTTTTTGGGACACAATAACTCTCTTCCTAATTGAGCTAGAATGTTCAAACTTGGTGTATGTGTTTATTAGGTCAATGCCTTGATGGAGTTCGAAGATGAGCATTTTCCGCTTAGGGTAAGCAGAGATAAGCAATTTGATTGGTTGATGCTTTGGGACACGATAACTCTCTTCCTAATTGGGCTAGAATGTTCAAACTTGGTGTATGTGTTGATTAGGTCAATGCCTTGATGGAGTTCGAAGATGAGCATTTTCCGCTTAGGGTAAGCAGAGATAAGCAATTTGATTGGTTGATGCTTTGGGACACGATAACTTTTAATTGAGCTAGAATGTTCAAACTTGGTGTATGTGTTTATTAGGTCAATGCCTTGTTTTTCTTGTAAACAGGCGATAAATGGAGTGAAGAATGTGGTAATACATTATGGAATTTAACTCGCTATATTAACAAAGATTATAAAAAAATGATAGCTCAGGTAATAACTTTATTTTCTCTTTCATAAGAATATGCTGGCAAATAGTACTATCTATCCGGATAATTAAACTAGTTATCTCTATCTATAAGACAAACTCACGGACAAGACACATAACACATACAACATCCAGAATTGTAAGTGATAAATAATAATTGAAGTACTATCAATTCAACTGAAAACACTCAACATAAAAATTGTCAGAAAGATTAAAAACAAACATGTTATAGTAGTTTAATGAAATTCATTTATGTGATTGAAACGGAGTTTAACATAGTGTGCAATATAAGATAATCATTTAGTAAAAAGAACCTTGTATGTTTTGCCATTTTATGTCATAAATAACTGATAAAGAGACAAGTTGCCAGGTTATCTGTATATGTATCAGTATTACGGGCAACTCATGTATACGACCACATATTAAAAGAATCAATTTTTGTCCCCCGCCTTTCGAAGAAAGCAGGGGACTATTAAATGGGTTTGTCCGTCTGTCCATCACACTTTTTGGGACACAATAACTCTCTTTCTAATTGAGCTAGAATGTTCAAACTTGGTGTAGGTGTTTATTAGGTCAGTACCTTGATGGAGTTCAAAGATGAGCATTTTCCGCATAGGGTATGCAGAGATAAGCAATTTGATTGGTTGATGCTTTGGGACACAATAAATTTAATTTTAATTAAGTGAGAGTGATAAAACTTGGTGTATAGTTTCATTACATCAATACCTTGACTAAGATCGATAATGAGCATTTTCTGCTTAGGGTAAGCAGAGTGATAAGGAATTTGATTGGCCGAGACTTTGGAACATAACTCCCGTTCTAATTGAGGTATAATTTTCAAACTTAGTGTAGGTGTTTATTAGGTCAATGTCTTGATGGATTTCGGAGACGAGCATTTTGTGCTTAGGTTAAGCAGAGATAAGCAATTTGATTGGTCAAGACTTTGGAACACAATAACTCTCATTCTAGTTGAGTTAGAATGTAGGTGTCTATTAGGTGAATACCTTGATGGAGTTCGAAAATGAGAATTTTCTGCTTAGGGTAAGCAGGGATAAGCAATTTCATTGGTCGATGCTTTGGGACAAGATAATCTTGATCCTATCTGATAGAGATTGCTGAAACTTAGTGTATAGTTTGATTGCTCGATACTTTTGAAAAAAATAAATGTGCGATTAATTAATATGTGTCATCTATTTATTTTGGGATTTTGGCGGGGGACATCAGCCTCACTGTTGGCTTGTTCAGTTTGTTACATTGTGAATCCTTTATATTTCTTTAAAATATATTATGGTGTTGATGCTGTAGCACTCCTGGGTGCAGATCGTGAATATACAGTTCGATCAGTGTTGCCACACTTGCAGATGAGAAATACAGTACAAATTTATTGTATCTTCTATAGAAGCATCGTATCTTATTAAAATTATGCCCTCACCTAGCAGACCGCCAAAGGACAATTACCCTCTTTTAAATCCGACCCTGGGTATCAACGGCAAGGCCATTTTGACTGCAGGAGCACACTTTGGAAAATATTTTTCAGAGATTCTAGGCATATCAGAACTAATAACGGAACATAGAACAATATAGTTCCATGAAAAGTGACCTCTTCCGAAAATGAAGAGCTCGTCTTGAAACCTTTACTGAATGTTTCATTCTCAGTTTTTTTCCGATCATTTAAAGACCGAGGGGGGGGGGGGGGCTTTCCAAACATTTGTTGCTGGTGAGGTTATTCATATCCTATATTGGTACCTTAGGCATATCCACCGTGGAAGTTTTTGTCAAAAGTTTATGATACGATATGAAATTATTCTTCTGTCCAGTAGAGCAAAGTTTAGTGATAGTTGTGCTACTTTGATATTTACTTCTTCTTAGAAAAGGGTGTAAAAAGATTAATATTCTGTCGATTTATGGTCAGTACTCGTCAAAGGATAAATCAACAGTGGTCTTTATCCAGCTATTAAAACAGGTTTTCTCCCTTTACCACCTTATCATTAAGTAATTATCTTAAATTGCGGAGTTCAGTTTTGGATGAACTGAATTTTAAGAAGGATACACATATACAAATACTTGTGTTGTACAGTATAACTTCTGAACATTTTTATTATTATTATTATTAATATTCAACTTTTCTGCGGAATTGGTCCAAAGTTATTTGTGACGGTAGAGTGCGCTGTCACATGACACACGTTGAAAGAGAGAAATAATAATAGTCACAGAGCTATTTTCTTCCTGGAAAAAGAAAGAAAATCTCGAGTTAAGTCTGACAAAATGATAACCAATTTGTTAACAAGCGTATTTGTAGCATATGCAGTTTATTTAATTACTTTGACTGATGTATCTAATGGTGGTGGTAAGTATCAATAATAATAGTGATCTTCAGATTCGATTCAACGACGATTGTGTTTTATTAACTTTTCCTCCACAGGGCATGGCCAGAAGAAGCCAGGCGACAACTTTAACTTTCAAGATTGAGTTTCATTCTGTCTATATCGTGCGACCTTTTTTGGCCAGAGGCATCTTACCCAGCACCGAACTGTTACTATATATGGTATAAACAGTTTATAAGGATAACCTGTAGTGGATATAATGGTCCGATTTAATTGAATGGGTTCATTTTTAACTGAAAAACAGGACGTCAGTGCGTAGTTAATAATATATTAGTGAAACTATTATGAATTACGGTCATATTAGTGAAATGTAGACATCTTTTTACCACCGAAGACCACTTGCCCTATTATTTAGACTTTCAAGTAGCAATGTAGAAATAACATGATAACCGTCAGTGCAGTTTGTTTTGGGATTTATAATATATTTACGAAATGAAATGAAATCAAAATGGGGTTTAATGTCCTACTGTTTTGCTCCGACTGGGCTAATGAATACATTAATATTATAATAATAGTAAAATATATTGTGGTTGCTGTACTATTTAAGGTTGTTATCCTGGCTTTGTTTCAAGAATTCATGATGTCTACTTGGAATTGCAACTTCTCAGTATTCTCTTTATTAAAGATACCGGGTAGTTGAAAAATGACAATGTTTTTACATGTACATGTATCTCCAACTCCCAAACTAAGAAAACATTAGTCATTATAGCCTGCAAGTAGACCTATATTGTTGATTTTTCTCTTGGGCTGTCCGTTTGTTTGTTCATAACTCCAGTAAAAGGTAAATACATCGGACAAGGTCAGATTTTTTTAGATTTCTTGCAACTGGGTGGGATTGTTTGAGTTGTTCTGAGAAAACTTAAGACCACAGAGGCATCTAATTCTAACTATGTTTGTGTATTTATATAGCAAGTGTACACGTGTCGGTAATAATATCTCAGATTAATCAATACCGACTAAAAGTTGCACAACCATACGATCATAAATTAATTAACACCTCGATGTTAGGAGTGCTAGTGGGATTGAGAACGCTGATTAGGTAATTATCTTTTGTATGTTGGCCAGGTCAAAGATATACATGTAGGTTCACACAAACCTTGTAATATTCATTTTTCGGCTTTGGTTATCAAATACAAACTGAGCCCTGTGGTCAGTTGTATCTGCCCTTTCTCATTTAATCTGATCGAGAATAATTTTGACGGAAGAGAACCAGCGGCACACTATATCCCCTCTCTTTGCTATAATTTCCACAACTCTAAAAAACACAAAGATAATGTGCCATTTTAAAGTTAACTTCAAAAGACAGATGCTATAAACAACGGATCTATTCCTAAAAATGGCAATCTTATGACTCTTGATGTTATCAGTTTATATCAGAATATTGTTATTTCTGAAGTTTAGAAGCACTGGAACACGCATTACATGAAACTAAAGTTGTGATCAATGAAGACTGAGAATCAATTCTACAAATAGCAGATTTTGTTCTTCACAACAATGAATTCAAATTTTGTGGTATATTTTATAGACAAATATTTGGGACCGCCATGGGAGCTCCGTTTGCTGTGACATATGCTCACATTTATATGTCATACTGGACCTACTATGAACCATTACCTAATAAACCAGATATTTCATGCAGATTCATTGATGATACTTATGTAATAATTTCGTTTCAACATTCAATCAACAACATCCAAAGATCAAATTTACTATGGATATAAATAGCAACTTAGTTAATTCCTTAGAATCTTAGATGTGAAAGTTGTCAAAGAAAGGGATACATGTAAGTTCGAGACAAATCTATATTCCAAGAAAACAGATTGCCATCATTATCTTCCACCATCAAATTGTCATCCCAATCAAACCTAAAAAGTTTTGCATCCTATCTTAAACAATCCAGAACTCCCAAGAAAATTATACAAAGGCATTTCAAAGAGCAGATCAGAAGACTTGGGCTGAATTATTGACCTACCAATCCAAGACTGATACTAATGTGAAGATTATTCCATGGCTATGCACCTTTGACCCTTGACCCTCACCTTCACCAAATGACTAAAGACCGAAGTATTTTAGACACGAGTTCGCGAATGACAAAAATTATGGATAACAGCAAAATAATACTAGCAGAGAGAAGGAACCACACCAATGGCAATATTTTGACAGAATTTAAAGGAGCTAAATCGCTAATATTTGGGACCTAGAAATTGACAAAAATGGGTCGCAACGCATACTGTAATACGAATGTATACAAACTGATTTACATTTAATGGTTTCCGTTTTTACTCCAATTTCAAATCGGGTTTGTTCGGCGGAATAAGCTAGCAGTCTCAATCGAGTGCAAATTTCTAGCATCTGGTTATTCCAGTCTACATGTGCCGTTTGATTTAGTGCACCATGTGTCTAGCCTCGTCCCTCGAGTCTCTTGATACAACTGGGCTGAAGCGCATTATGGTACACGATTCGTGTACCAATGGTAAAATGTTTTTTTTGTCTTAAATATTGGATATCAAAAGCCCATCTTTTGCCGGTAAGATCACAACATCAATGTTGATTTAATTTGAAAAATAAATCGTGTTTTCAATGTTGAAGATTTTGGATGATATTGAGTTAGAGACTTAGCTACTTTAAGTTGAGAACTACTGACAATAATAACATTATTAATGTCAACCTTTGAGACTATGTGTACAAATCAAGAAGAAGACATAAAATCATTCAAGATTAGAGACCCTGTCAATTGTGCCAGTACTTTTGTTGTTTATTGTTTAACATGTAAAACCTGTATAATGCAATATGTACATGTAGGCCAAACCATTACTCCTTTCAGCACTCGATTTAATAAGCACAGCAGTAATATAAAGTTTAAAAAATCTGGCCATTCCCCCCATATACATGTATAGCATTCCATTTTAATATACCTGTGTGTACCAATCATTGTTAAAGAAATTCCTGATAAAGATCAAGAAAAATTGAACACAGCAGAAAGTCTGTGAATTCATAGACTTGATTCTATGAGATTTGACAACCTGTTAAGTAATAGATGTAGAAATAATTATGTTTTGACTCTCTTAGAAAATATGCAATTCTCGCTTTAAATTAGTCTTTTGAATTTCAGAAATTTCTGTTAATTACATCTAGAGTATGAAGTTTATGAGCATTATTTAAATTAGTAAGACGAAAGATCCTGTCAAATTTGAACAATTTCTGTAATTTACTTGTAGAGTTAAGTCCCTTGTTTCAATTTGTAGAACCTTTTGAAACCTCAGACGACGTAAAATATAATCTGATCTGTATGAAATGATTTTGTAAATGCCCCCCCCCCCACCCTACAAGTATATAAATATGTGACAACTCTTATTGACCACTCGGATGATTTAGCTGAGGTAGGCCTATGTTTTGTTGCCTGGCAACCTATCTCTAAAAGTTTGGCTATTATTGTTTATATCATGTCATAGATAGTGAAATCTATGCTATTTGAAGGTCATGTTTGTGATATATATATATATACATTTGTAGCAAGCGTGAGCTAGAAATAGAATTATGACTTCAATGGATCTTATACATATGAAAATTTTTCATTTTAAAATTGCCATAAAAGTCTTATTCATTGCCCAAGTTCATCATTGTTCAGAGAAGAATAAACTAAAGGTGTACATGTATGTGTATGTCCCACTATTGTGAAATCTGCACAATATATTTGAGTAGATATTTTTAGATCATAAGGTCATAATTTTAATCTGATTTTGACGAAACTTGAAATATAGGTTTATCTTCAAAAGATCTTAGTTCGTTTAGATATTGGCATGTATCGCACCATAACTTCATCGATTATGACCCATGATTGTACGGAAAAACATGTTTTGGTTTTTAGCTTGTGGACACTCTAAGAGGTCACAATTTTTATCTGATTTTGATGAAACTTGAAATGTTTGTTTACAACCCACAGATCTTGTTCCTTTCGATATTCTCGCATATTGGACAGTAAGTTCCTGTATTTCGTCTTCCTACTTCACATGGGGAGACGACATCTATGAACAAACTAGAGGATTGTCCATTGGGAAGCCCACTATCCCCTCTGTTAGCTAAAGTTTATCTCAGCCTTTGAACAACAGGCCCTCAATTCATCACCCATCAAACCCCTTTGCTGGTACAGAAGAGTTGACAACACTTTTGTCATGCTGAACAATGGAGATTAGCCCCTTGCCCTATTAAATGACATGAACGCATAGCACATCGAAATTAAGTTCTTAAAGATGGGTTCCCAGAAAAGTATTTATCCGGTGGTTATTTCCAATAAAAGTATGGCAATTTTGGTATATATGGAAAGTAGAGATATCCAATCTTACTAGAAAAATACTGGATTCCCCGAAAAACATTCATGGAGCGTATACAGGACAAAAATATAAGGATTCCCCTAATCAACAGCCCGACGATTAAGAACTTCTGCATGTGTGATGTCAAAGGTCACAAGCGAACATTGAGCGCTTGATGTACAAGTTGATAAACTTTATGAAGAGTTAGACGTACAATACTTTCTGAGATAAAAATGACGGAAAAAGACGCGGGTACTGGATAATCCGAGAATTTAATTAGGATTCGATATTTGTAATAAATAGTAAGCGATTAAAGACAACATCGTCTTATGTATGCAATGAATTCTCCTCTGAGTCCCAAGACGTGAAGAGAATTTAATTAGGGTTCGATATTTGTAATAAATAGTAAGCGATTAAAGACAACATCGTCTTATGTATGCAATGAATTCTCCTCTGACTCCCAAGACGTGAAGTAAACATGGCCTGGTTTGATCGAATTTTAATAGCAGGACATTCCTTCGCAATTACAATGTTTGAGAAGGATTTGAAGCATAATTATGACAAATTAATTAGTTTGAATATGTTTTTGGTCCATATATACCATTAAATCACCCAGTTTGTACGCGGGAACCCATCTTTAAGTTCACAATGGAATTGGAAACAGACAATAGCCTCCCCTACTTAGATGTAAATGTCCAAAGAATCAACAGCTCTCTCCGTATTTCAGTTTATACTGTTTATAGATACCGATCCACACCGATCAGTATCTCCATTTTAAATCCAACCACCCTTTCCAAACCAAGAAAGCAATCATTACAACACTCACTAACCACGCCCTCAATATCTGTGACTATGATCTACTACAGCATGAAATTGAACACCTCAGACAAGTCTTCTCCACATTTAACCAGTATCCTAAGCAGGTAATCAATAAAACCATCATTTCCACTATAGCCTCCCGACACCTACCATTAAGTTACCAAGAACTGACCCATCACCCATACGTATTAGATTGATTCTTCAAGTAACTTGCTGTATTCCATATATTGTGTCATGTTTCAGTGTAATACCAAGGTTGTGGTCGTGGACCCTCTAGAGGTCAGAATATTTATATGTTTATATCCATATTCCAGAGATTTCATTTCCTTTTGATATCTGCACATAACGGACTGTAACTTCCTAGATTCTGGCCTCTGATTGTACGAAAAATCACTTCTTTTTTTTTTAGCTTGTACTCTGTCCATCTCTTGCAAAATGTGGGCGTATCTTGCATGGCAACAGCTTGTTTGTAAATGCATGGTTTAGTGAGTATATCAAAATGTAAATGTAATATACATGTACATCTTAGGATGATTACATTGTATATTCAAATTCAGTCAACTTAACAAGCTAGGTGTAAAGCAACATATATTTTATATTGTTGTTTTTTGTTAATCCTGAATGGTCTATTACTGTATTCATGTTATTAGGGCTAACAGTCTCACACAATAATTATTTACAGGATTTGTATCAGCTTTTCTATAGGTAGGCATGTTGACTATGTTAAATTTGTGAATTCACATTATAAGTACATGTACCACACATACCAGGTCAAAAGTAGGGTAATAAAATCACACAAACATACATGAATCAAAAAGCAAAATAAATTTAAGGAAATTCACAATAATGCTGGGTGTCATTAATGCAAATCAATTTGGCATCAAGACAGAGTTTGTAAACATGGGACCAAACATTTATGCGATAACAAATCAAGTGATGCAGTTTCAAGCCCGACAGTACAAAGGTTTCAATTCAGAGTATTTTAATGGTACAAACAAATTAAAAAAGTCTGTGCATTCTCATGTTTTTATTAAGTACAAAACAAATAAAAAAAGAGAATGCACAGCATTTTCCTATTTTTCTTGTTTTCTCTTTTCTTGTGACAGCCAACTATTTTTGAATTGTCAGATATCCTCTCACCGTCTCATATAACAACTTTTCATTTTCAACAAATTGGATCGTGTGTCTGTTATCGCTTGTTACTTCAGTTACTTATTATATTGAAAGATAACTCGTGTTTGTCATTTTTGTCGTCACTTCCTGTTTATTTAAAGTGTTTGTTACACATCTACCGTAGCAATGATCTCTGTGTTACTGTTAAAATTATTTTTGAAATGTGTTTAACCAGTTCTGTAACATATATAATAATGACTGACACCAATATTGTCCTTTACTTTTAAGGGCAGATAGTCTCCCGGCATGGATTTAATTGACTATAATAAGGCCCATCCAAGGTTGTTTTTTTTATCATTCATACAACAATTATAGGTGGCATTAGCTTATTTACAATGTATATCGTCTACAGAGGATGCAAACTTTACGTTGATCATATTTTTTATAGATATTGAGATTCCCCGTTTTTATGTGACAAGGAGTAGGCTCACTTGTCCAACCTCATGGGTTTTCTCCGGGTCCTCCGGTTTCCTCCCACTGCTAAAGACCCATACGCGCAAGCGAATTATTGAAATAAAAAAATTAAACCATATGTTAGTCCCGAAATGACCTAGTTTGTGTCGAGTGGACGTTAAACCCCATTTCTCTCTCTCTCTTTATAGATATTGAAGTTTGTTTGGTTGTTGGCGTGAATATATATTTTTTCATTTGGGTACATAGGACTAAGTATTATAGCCTTCTGAATGTTTGAGCCACAAATTCACAGCCAAGTAAAGACCAAATTTTCTAGTCTAATTTGTTATATGATGTTTTTAGTTTCAGCTGATACATGTTCAAACCAAACTAATGACAAATGTTGTTCATCTGTTTTGGAATGTATGTTAACCAATTGTACAACAGATAGTGGAAATACAAGTGGTATGTTCATAGCTATATATATATATTCAATAGACAGTGTTTAAAACCTCATACTTCCTCCAATAATTCACTTATTTCATTTGCCAATGCATCGTTCGATGACTAGAGTGGTCTGTAAAATCTTTTGAAGTCAAAAATGAAAAGTGTAATATTCTGGGCTAAAAAATCCAAACGGTGTCAATGTTGCTGATGTAAGAGCATTGTGTATTTTTAGATATTATATGGTGACAATTTAGATTTTTGGACCAGGAATTGTGCCCCAAGCCCAACTCATCTTGCTGTTCTTGTTCAAAAAAAGCCCAAGCCTCCTACATTTCAAAGATGATTGACATGGAACTTGACATGCTGGTCCCTTGGACCATTGCACATCCAGACTTTGATTTTTGGTATGATTTCACAATTCCAAGATGGCTGCGATGACATCATGCATGGTTCCTGGTTCATATAGTACACATATTTCTACTTTGATTATATATTGCTATCTGTGTTACGCACAGTTGCATGGGTTAAAAATTTGTCTGTAGATGAGTTTATCTCCATTCATAATAATGCAATAAACATCGATTGTTACTTTCATCCTTAAATTGTAAATACTATGCAAAATACTGGATATTATGAAGTTTTAAAGCGATAATTTCATATTTTTAAGTTATATTTTTAAAATGTATCAAAATAAAGCCTTAAAATAGATGGTATCTATAAACAGTCCTAACTTGTTAAAGAATAATCCTATTAATCTTATAATTCACTATTGCCAGTTGAGAAATTGGCAAAAATATCATTTTCAACTTCAAATTCAAACATTTGAAGATAGCTATTCCATGGGGGGAAATAGAAAAACAAGGGAGGTTATTGTGTTATTATTTCCGGGGTGAATGATTTTTTAAGTGTGAGAATGATACCTATGATCGTATAATAGTGTGTTGACAACTTATTGAGCAAAAGACATAGAAATAATTATGTTTGGACTTTCTTAAAAAATATGAAATTCTCGCTTTAAGAAGATTATATGTAAGTTAAGTTTTTTAAGATCTTATAAGATTTGTAAGGTCGACCATTTAGTTTACTATAGCAAGCAAACAAACAAACTATCTTTTATGTATTTGAAAGTGTGTTTTTTCTGTCAGTCAGAGAGTAATATTTAACACTATTAAACTGATCTTCTTACCTTGTTACGCTCAAAGCAATATGCACTTGGCGACCCAAATTTTACCAATTCTAAGTTTATGTTTTTGAGTGATTAGACATTGAAATTTATTTTATATTTAGTCTGTGTAAACTTGACAACAACGGAAACAACGTGCAATACCAATGGTACATTGAATATAAATCAGACCATCTGCAAATTTGGTAAGTAGCTATTGATAGATTACAGAAATTAATTACATGTATGTCAAAATGTATCATTGCAATACAAGAAAGCAAATATGTAGATCTATTGATAATGCCAGGCTCATTATTGTATTTTAGGAACATTGTCACATATTGGGTAAACAAATCACAATAGCACACTACATCCCTAGATATATATATCATTGGATACAGGCTTATGTTTCAGTCATATAGCCAGTCTAAATGTCAGTGAAATTGACCATGTAGTTGTCAATCAATTCATATGCCATAAAATTAGACTTTCAATGAATTATATCATAAAACACTATAAATATATATGTATTTACAGTTTAATTTAAGATTGGGATAATACTAACAATTTTTATACGTCCACATTCATAATGTGAACGTATTATGCCGTCGCCCCTGTCTGTGTGTGTGTGTGTGTGTATGTATGTGTGTGTGTGTGTGTGTGTGTGTGTGTGTGTGTGTGTCTGTGGTTCGCCTACAGGGCGCAATTCTTCATGGATTTTCTTCAAACTTGGTATACTTATTCCTTATACCCCAAGGAAGATCCCTATTGTTTTTGGTGCATGCCCGACCCCCCGGGGCAGAGCCACGCCCATTTCTAGTATTTGTTTGTTTGTCGTCTACAGGCCACATTTCTTAACTAATAATCTTGAAACTTTGCATACACATTCTTTGTACCCTAAGGAACATCCCTATCGTTTGGGGTGCATGCCCAACCCCCAGGGGCAGAGCCACGCCCATTTTCTTTTCGTGTGTCTTTGTGTCGCCTACAGGGCGCAATTCTTACTGGATTTTCTTCAAACTTGGTATACTTATTCCTTATACCCCAAGGAAGATCCCTATTGTTTTTGGTGCATGCCCGACCCCCAGGGGCAGAGCCACGCCCATTTCTAGTATTTGTTTGTTTGTCGTCTACAGGCCACATTTCTTAACTTATAATCTTGCATACACATTCTTTGTACCCTAAGGAACATCCCTATCGTTTGGGGTACATGCCCAACCCCCAGGGGCAGAGCCACGCCCATTTCCCATTTTCTTTTCGTGTGTCTTTGTGTCGCCTACAGGGCGCAATTCTTACTGGATTTTCTTCAAACTTGGTATACTTATTCCTTATACCCCAAGGAAGATCCCTATTGTTTTTGGTGCATGCCCGACCCCCAGGGGCAGAGCCACGCCCATTTCTAGTATTTGTTTGTTTGTCGTCTACAGGCCACATTTCTTAACTTATAATCTTGCATACACATTCTTTGTACCCTAAGGAACATCCCTATCGTTTGGGGTACATGCCCAACCCCCAGGGGCAGAGCCACACTTTATATACTTATTCTTTGTACCCTAAGGAACATTCCTATCATTTGGAACATCCTTATCATTTGGAGTAGGCCCTACATGCCCAACCCCCAGGGGCAGAGCCATGCCAATTTTCTTTTTGTGTGTCGCCTACAGGCCACAATTCTAAATCGATCATCTTGAAACTTAAAATACATATTCCTTATACCCTGAGGTTGGTCCCTTTTCTTTTGGGTGCATGCCCGATTTTGGGGAGATAACTCCATTTAACAATGTCAAACTCCATTTAACAATGTCAAACTGACGTGATATGCTTTAAATAGTTGTCACCCATGTAACATTCGGGTTTTTGTGAGTGGTTTCTGAGAGCCTTTGTTCAACTTATTTTTCAGAACGCTTTGTAAGTGTTAGAAGTATTTATACCGGTTATTTGTTGACGTTTCAAACCACCGTTTTCTCCCCCTTTCCTCCCACTGCTAAAGACCTTTTGGTACTGCAATGACAATGTCTCTCTCTCTCTCTCTCTCTCTCTCACACTAAATAAATTATAAATTCATGTAACTGCAAGTACATGTGCGTTTTCAGGATGTACATTTTTAAAAAGTCTTATGTTTGGGTGTCATTCGTCTTTAAACTTGGGTTATGTATTCCTTATAGCCTCAGGATAACTGCTTAGCCGACTCCCAGGTCGCAATTCTTAATGAAGCCGCTCGGTACTTGGCATATGTATTCCTTATTGCCTTAGGGAGTCCACTATTGATTTTGGTGAATGTCTCAACCCCCAGGAGCAGAGTCACGCCCACTTTTTGCCTTTGGAATGTGAAAGGCACAATTCTGAATGCATTATCTTGGTATACTTATTAATAAGTTATACTCTAAGGACAGGAACTATTGATGTTGATGCACGACCCTCAACGCTAAACAAACCAAAAGCCTAGCCTTCTTGACAAAGTACCTTGTCAATCAAAGCAGAATTGGAATGTGGACGTATATTGTAGCGTTAGCGTTATGTTTATTATATTCTTTAAAAAATATCTTGCTTATCAGGAGTGAATGAAATGCATATTTCTACTGGTACATCAAAAATTGACCAGCTAGCAATATTTTGAAGTAAAATAACTGCATTGAATCATTGTAACATGTGTTCAGCTTGGATGATGGAAGACAGTTTCTGATACTAAACTACTTCTGATAGTACCGTTAACTACAACAAGGATTCTGCTCATCGATTATGAAAACTTTGTTAATATTACATGTGTCACTGGATAAAGAAGGCAAACTATTATACGGCGGTAATTCGAAAGCCTTCTTTCACCAGTGTATAGAAATTTTGTTCTACTCAATAATTTAAGGTGTTTTTTTTAAAATGAAATTTTGATTGGTTATCTGATTTTGTGTGATTGCAGACAATAACTATTAGGATCCTCCTATACAGCACACTTACTTAAAGTGCACATAAGATGGGCTTGGAAACTTTGGGATACGTGTAGCCAATGGTTACTATATCCACTTTACGGCAAGTTCACGCCAATCTGGTTGAAATTAATTCAGTTATCTTCACTCAAAGTCGTAAAAATAGACCTTCCGTAAAAACGACTTTGCCAATTATTGAAAACACTCTTAATCCCCTAAGACGCCAGTGACGTCACAGTGCATTCGGAATGTTTATTCCTTAATGACCTATATACTGCCGGCGTGTGTATTCTTTAACGTCTGAAGGATTCCTTAATCCCCCTAATTAAATAAAACAATTGACTACGGAATAATTTGTTTTGTAATTCATTTTAATTTAAGATCCAATTTAGAGTGCCTGCAACTTTTAACCTTTGAATTCTTGAACTCTTAATTAATTTTTTACAATATGGAACTTATTGGACGAACACTTTTAATATGTAAATAATATACGGGTCCAGCTATGTGGTTTTTACTGCGAGCACTTCGCTTTTCCACATAAAGTGTAGTGTCGTTGATATCTGTCATTAATTAATCAATCCGACTATAAAAGTTATACAGGCATGGGTCATAAATTAATTTACACGTTGGTGTTAGCAGTGAGTGTTAGTGGGATTAAGAATGTTGATTAGGTAATTATCTTTTTTTACGCCGGCCAGATCAAAGACATCACTCTATGTGGAACGTGTGCGTAATACCTCACGAACGAACTAATGGTAGAATCATACACACACACATTAATTGTATAAAATAATTAAGTTTTACTAATAAGTTGTTTAAAATTACTGTATACCCAATAATTATTGCTCACCGTTTTTTTTGTAATCAAGTAGCCTCGTATAAGTTGTTTATTGGCGTTTAAACAACATTTAATTGATGGATGGATTAACGTTTTTGATACGATTAGGTTATAATGTCTAACATTGGTTATCTTCGTTATAATAGAAGTATTTTACAATTGTATTGACAGTTTAATCACCCACCAAACGGCACCAGGAACTCCACGAATGATCCCGTGCAATTTTCACGGCGAAGTTTAACCTCATTTACTACACCCGTAGTACATGGAACGGTACATGATAATAAGATACCAAGCGTTGATTGGCAGAGAAATGAGTGCGATCTATTGTACATATTCACTGTAGTTGTTCTTTATGTATAGAAATGGTTATTATTATTATATATAGCTAATAATGAATATATCGACAAATGACTGACACCATTTGTATTTCTGTACTTAAGTTTGGGATATCAAGTATTACAGGGTTATCCAAATTACCGGTAAATGCGCTAATTTCTTGAGTCATCTTCATTTGACACGTGGCCTATTTAAACAAAGGCAGCTTAAATTGATCTACGGCATGATACAGCATTTTAAATTCACTCTAAAATATTCCAATCACAAATGTCTAATCTATCTATACCAATGAAAGACGATAATTCGGTGATTATGATGAGGCCAGTCACGTGGTAATTGGACCGTCAATAGACGCTTGTCCAGTTGCCGTGTGTATTGATAGTGCTATATTGTACGGACATTGAGATATTGTATAGATAATGTATATCCTATGTGTAGTGCCTGTGACGTCACCAGCCAATCAACCGGATTAAGGTCGTAATTGAAAAATCGAAAAGCGTTTTGGCGTGTGGGATACTTAAACGTTAACAGCGGACTTAATTTTAATCAGATTGGTATGAATTTGCCGTAAAGTTGATATAGTAACCATGGGCTATCCATACATGCAATTTAGATTTTTGATCTTACGTGGTCTTTAAGTTAAAATTGTACTGCAGCCATTTTGAATTTCTCAATTTAAGCACAGCATGATTGTTTTTAAGCAATTTTGAATTAAAGTATCTGGTATTTATTTCCTATATGCTTCTCTAAACTTTATATACATATTTTGTGTTAATTGTTATCATGAAAGTAGGATCTGGAATATTGGTTCTTTTTTAAAAATTAAAACAAGTTGAAGGATTATGGCAAAGACGTGCTCTGTTTAATGCAGTTGAGAACAAAACGAATGTTAGATATAAAAATCAAAATTCACCTGTATGACACAGCTGCACATTATGCACTTCAATTACCCTTGATTCAACACTTCAGATTGCATGTAAGATATGTGTAACATATTTCTTAGGATGCTATCAGCATTCTGCGATGAAGGTCTACTTACTAATAGATAACGGTACTGATTGTGTTTCATAATGAAAGTATATGTATTTTTTTTTTCAGTCGCAGATCCCTGCAATGTTAACAGCACAGATTCAGAAGCTTGTTGTGGAAACGAAGCTTGTTCATTTTATAATTGTACAGCAGAAAATGGTTAATCTTTAAATTACTTTTTCATATTTATATACAGGATACAATTCTATTGAATACAATTACAACACAATTCTATAATTACTACACATATCTATTAAACACAATTATGTGTGGTTTAATGGCCAAGAGTAAGACATTAAGTTATATATTGCTATGCACAAGAATGTTAGTCTGAGAACTCCATCAATATGGTACGCAATGTCTTGCTCTCGACCAGGGCTTCTACTTCAAAATTTTCACTGTTGGTCATTTTTATAAGCCAACATTTTCATGTGGATGTACATTGTCATCGCCCTTTTCCGTACGTTTTGTTTGTGGACACTATACAGGTCACAATTTTTAGCTGAGTTTGACAAAACTTGAAATACAGGTTAATCTCCCAAAGATCCTGGTTCATTTTGATATTGGCATGTTCCTGATTGTACGAAAAATCATTTTTTAGCTTGTGGACACTAAAGAGGTTACAGTTTTTAACCGATTTTGATGAATCTTAAAATGTATGTTTATAGCTCGAAGATCTCGGTTCGTCTCGATATATTCGCAAATATCCAACCATAACCTCCTGGATTATGCACCCTTATTATTGAAGAAAAATTGTGTCCTTAGCTTGTGGAAGCTCTTGAGGTCACAAATATTTTTCAATACTAAAAAATTGTATTTTTATTAGTCTCTATCATTCAGACAAATATTCTACGAGAATTATGGCCCCTGATTGTACGAAAAATTACATTTTTCGCCCATAGACACTCTAGAGGTCACAATTTTTATCCAATTTTGGTTAAACTTCAAATATTTGTTTATATCCCTAAGATCTCGGTTCCTTTCGATATTCACGCATATAGGACCGCAGGGTTGTAAAAATCCACTAGCCCGACGCCCGGGGCTACCAAAAATAACTTACGGGCTAGTGATCTATTTAGCCATACTAGTCCTGGGCTAGTGCCCTTTCACCGGTTTGTGAATTAAACTAGTGACGATATAGATAAATAAACTGTAAAACATCCCACATTTATTTCTCAAATTCCAAGGAAAACTCAATCATAACAATAGATTTTCTGTAGTAAAATGTCCATATGGACATTTTTTGTACCCCTTCTATTCATTCATTCTTGACATTTCATTTCTCCATCTTGGACGCTTTGACAGGACAGGTATAAACCAGTTGAATTCAAGTTGATTTAAAAACAAAAGACTCACTTATACTTTATATTAGATTAGTTCTGACATAAATATTTGAAAGCATACCTTTGTATTTTTAAATACAAGATAATTTTGATTATTTAACATGTCAGGTATTTCCAAAGAATTTACTACACGTGTTCATTACACACACGCCATGATGAATGGTTCCAGTGACCCGTGTGTCGTCAACTTCGACCCTATCGGCACGCAGCATGGCACTCGAGTGATACTATAAACAATTTTACTATCCTGTCTATTTTAATATTATATCAGCACATCAAACTGATTTGTTTCATTTTGAGAATCTTTATAGTGACCAGGTAAATAAATACGGTAAAACAATTAATTTGTCAATCAGTCGAGGCTATCTTGTGCTTTGCAGTCAGTGCTAATAATAACGTAAAATCTTTGAGCGGGAATTAAAGGACGTTAATTTACCGTGATATATTATAAATGACATGTGCTATATGAAGTATTTATATGGTCTTTAGTGAAAGAAAACATTGTTGTGGCTACCATTCCTGGTTTTGAAGGTCAGATATATGAAAACGAATATCGGATTGTAGTTTTTTGAACCGTTTATTAGGCAATCAATTTTACGATCTTTATTAAAAAAACAATAGGTTGGCAGGCAACAAAACATGTGCCAAAATATTGAAAATTAAATCTTGTACCTTGTCAAACTATGGACTAGTGGATATTAATGCAGGGCTAGTGCCTGACAATAGACTACTAGCCCTGGGCTAGTGGATTCAAAAAATTTTTTACGCCCCTGTTAGGACCGTAACTTCCTGAATTATTGTCCATGATTGTTTTTAACTTGTGGACCTTTTAGAGGTCACAATTGTTATCAGATTTTAAAAACTGTTAAAATATCACTGTTATACCCTAATTACGGTTGAGTTTTTATTTTGTAAAAATCAGACCGAAAGTCCCTGACAAAATAACCACTCTTTGTATACATATTGTGAACGAGTATGCATTACAAAGGTTGTGGTGGGGGGTATATGCCTGAATGGTTAGCACGCGCGCGTTGTATCATACGGTCTGTCACTTAGTCAACTTGCGGGGTTTCGAATCCCCGGTTGTACGTGACAAGGAGTAGGGTCGTCTGTTCAACCTCGTGGGTTTTCTCCGGGTCCTCCGGTTTCCTCCCACTGCTAAAGACTCCTACAAGCAAGCGAATTATTGAAATAAAAAAATTAATTAAACCATATGTTAGTCCCAAAATGACCTAGTTTGTGTCGAGTCGACGTTAAACCCCATTCCTCTCTCTCTCTACAAAGGTTGTGACCCTGGGTTCCACGTTGGCCGTATATGCCGGTCAAGACTGAGGCCTATGAAAAATGACTGAAACTAGATCTAACCCATCGATCAATTTTCACGCCAAAAAATAGCTTATTTTTTAAAACCCAATTTTCAAACATGGCTATGATCGACAGCCGCAATGTGACTATAAAATTCTATGGTCTGTACAGAATAATGCACACGTATAGAAATGAAATGAAATGAGATGTTGTTTAATGGCAGGTCAGCTCCAATCGGGCTATATTGCGCCAAACATACACGTATAGAAGCCATATAATCTCATGATTGTTATGCTGAGTGTTGTTTTAATAATTAATGATGGTAGTAGAACTATAAAAGTTATTGTTCAATGGGAATCCAATGATGTGAAGCAGTTCATTGTTAGTCATACTCTATTTGAACACCCATGTATTGTCCTGTCCATGTATCATTTTTCTTGAACAAAGCTGCTTTACGTCTGTTGCGGTCACACACAATGTAAATGAGATAATTATGATTTTAAAAAAAAGGGCAATTGATATGAAGTACTGCTCTTCAAATCCAACCGTCAAATTAAATAAAAACAGCATAGAAATTACGCTAATCCTCAACAACGTATGATTGGTTTTTTTTACAGCATGCTTTAATAACTAATCTTATAAAGTATGAAGGAGGCTTTTTTTTTAAAAAATCAACCTATCCTGTAAAGTGCCACGCAAGATAGAGAAATGAAACATCATGAATGAATGAATGAAATTTGTACTCAATTTGTAATCAAATCAGTGATCATCGGAATCATATTTACTATCATTGACATCATATTTACGTTTCCATTCTTTTAATATCACAATTGCGCGGACAATGCCATCTTTAATCAACAGCGTGAATCCAGAGTGTTACAATCATCCAGTAATAAATGTTCCCTACTAATGAGGTACAAAAAAAGTTGATATGGTCAATCACGACTATCTTTAATAATAGAAGTTTTGCACCCCTTACATAAATGGTGAACCGAACGCTTTTAAACGGTAAATCACTTTTGTTAAACAGTTTTTTACGCTTGATTTTGAATAAGAAACTCAATTCGCAAATTCCATCAAATTTTGTCTGCTGTAGAGATCACAATTTTTATCCGATTTTGATGAAACTATGTAATTTTGATTGTATCCCAAAGATCTCGGACCGTAACTTCATGGATTATGGTCCCTTATTGTATGAAAAGTCACATATTTTTAGCTTGTGGACTCTCTAGAGTTCACAACTTTTATCCGATTTTGATGAAACTTAAAATATGTTTTTATAATCCAAAGGTCTTGGTTCCTTTTGATGTTGTCGCATGGATTATGGTCTCTGATAATTCGAAAAATCTTTTTTTTTTTATCTTGTTCTCTGTCCATCTCTTCCAAAATATGGGCGTATCTTGTATTTCAACTGCTTGTTAAAGTTGTTCTAGTAGTATCGCTGTTATCTATCCTGTGGACCATCTCCTTCAATATTTAAATTAATTGGAATTTTACATTATTTTTTCTTCAGAAACAGTGTGTCAGCTAAAAAATTCAACCAAACCAGCTCCTTGTAATGTAACTCATTGTGGTATGTATGATGCAAATTAAGTAAGAATAAGTAGTGTATTGATGTTGGTGCCATTTAGTGACATTATTTGTATATGCCTACATTTTCATGTGGATGTATATCGTTGTCGTCCATGTCCGCCCGTCTGTGTGTCTGTTCACATTTTGTTTGTGGACACTCAACAGGTCACAGTTTTTATCTGATTTTGACAAAACTTGAAATGTAGGTTTTTATCTTAAAAGTCTTGGTTCCTTTCGTTTCGATATTGACATTTATTGGACGGTGATTTCATGGATTATGGCCCTTGATAGCATGAAAATCATTTTTTTTAGCTTGTGGACGCTCTAAAGGTCACAAATTTTATCCGATTTTGATGAAACTTAAAAATGTATATTTATAACCCAAAGATATTGAAACCTTTCGATATTGGCACATACATGTATCCGACCTGGATTATGTATGAAAAATCTCAGTTTTAGCTTTTAAGCTTGTGGTCCCGCTAGAGGTCACAATTTTTATTCGATTTTAAAAACCATTCTAATTGTTATACACTTATGTCGGTTGAGTTTGAATTTCGTGAAAATCCCTGTATGCAAATAGTGTAAAAGTATGTAATACGAAGGTTGTGAACCCACTAAAGGTCAAAACTTTTATCCGACTTTTATATGAAACCTATAATATATCCTAAAGATCTTGGATCATTTCGATATTCACGCATATCAGACAACATGGCCCTTGATTGTACGAAAAATAATGTTTTTATATGCCCAAATTTTGATGTATATTATTAAACCAATGTATATAAATTTGAATTAGACTACATTTCAATTTCCAGTAAACGGTTCTACTACTCCATCTTTAATGCCAACAAGTATAGTTACATCAACATCATCATCATCATCATCATCGACACAAGCAATATCTACGTCAGTACCAGAAAGTAAGATAAACTTTCTTATACTTTACAATGTTCTGATTAATCATGTTAAAAGCGTGTGATTATTTTGATGCAGTGTAGCTTATGCTATTAATGGGTGTGTGTATCATTGATGAATATTGAATTGTGTTGACTGGTGTTGGTGTAAGCTCATGTTCATCAGGGGGGGTTATCAGCCTCACTGTTGACTTGTTTATTTACTATCACGTTACATGCAATAATGAACAAAAACAAGCCTCTATTTGATAGATAATAAAACTACATGTACATCCTATCCACTGACATACCAGTAACTCGCTAATTATGATTGGCTACTATTTTTGGAGTTAGATAGAGGTTCTAATGGAGACAAAAAGCATTAGATTTCTTCACTGTATTTTGAAAATGTTTTTGGTTTTATGTTCTTTTTATTATATGGCCACATTGAAATGTGGTCGTATATTGTCGCTCGTCGGTCAAACAATTTTTGATAAAATCTCCCACAGTTGTTCCCAGTTTCTATGCAATCTTTTATGCACCATAGAGACTTAATTATCATCCATTATTTCTAAAATTTTATAAATTGTTTAATTAATTTCTTGCTAGAGTTTTGTCCCTTAGCTATGAAATTTGTTTTCCCTGTTGAGGTTTCAGTTAACATCTGAGGATTTTAAAAAAAAAAAGTCTGAGATGTTTGACTTTTTATATGCCCACATTTTCATATGGACATATATTGTCATCGCCCCAGTCCGTCCGACCGTCCGTGTGTTCGTTCACATTTGTTTGTGGATACTCTACAGGTCACAATTTTTATCCGATATTGATGAAACTTGAAATAAAGGTTTATCTCCCAAGGATCTCATTTCCTTTCAATATTGACATGTATCGTACCATAACTTCATGAATTTATACACAGTGTTTAAGGACATGTGACGACGGCACCTATACATTTCCAACAATTTCTGGTAATGGCTTCCAGAGTTATGGCCCTTGACCTCTTGTGGATGCTGTAGAGACCATAGTTATCCAGAGGCTGGTCTGACAATTGAGGAAGAGTTCCGAAAACGAAGCATCACCTAGCGAGGTGAGAGTGTGTTGCCATGGGGAACAGTATTACATAACATTGTATTTCTTACATGGTCCCTTTAAGTTGCTGCTGCGATATACCAGTGTTTGTTGTCTGGCAATGTTTTTCACCATATTTGATTTTTGGGGATCATTTGTAATTGATTGATTGACTTTTCATTTCAGCCGGAAAACCACTTGGTCAACATTTTGATGCAGCATCTTTCATTGGTGGCATTGTTTTATGTGCAGGTCTCGTTGCCATCACATTTTTTGGATGCAAATTTTACAAAGCCCGTACAGAAAGAAACTACCATACATTATAAAAACATTAGATTCCACTTTAAATCCTCTTTATCTAGATCTCTTTTTTTTCTTTAGTTCCGTTTGGGTTTTTTCCCTCGTTTTGTTTGGATTATATCAAGAGAATCTGATCAATGCAGATTATGTCTTGAAAACCTTCAGTGCTTTTAAGTTTTTCTTTATTGATATTTTTTGAAAACATTTATTTGGAACAGAAAAAGTGAGTAATTTTCTTATTTTGTTTTGAAGCAAGGTAACCTTTCAAATTAATCAAACCAGTTATTTTCCCCTAAATTTTCAGCGTATTATGTGTATTTACTTTTTTTTTTTACATTATTTAAAATATATCAGTGTACTTGTAAAGCAAGAAAGAATTACTAATTGAATTCATTGCGACTTGCCGCATGAAAACACAAAATACATGTGACATGATAGATAGTGATGATCTGTTATTCTTCATCACGTTAATTTGGGATATTCAATAATTTATAAATTTACAAATAATATGATTACAGAGTCATTTTGATTTGAAAACCAGACATTTATTTTGGCAGAGAATATACTCTTAAATCTTGGGCATGGTTTCATTTCTTATCAAAATAATTGTATCCTTAATGAAAAAACCCCAACAAAACATAACAAATGTGAAAAAACCTGCAAGATGTTGAAATTCAGATTGCAATGTTGATAAGTATCAAAATTCAGGGCTGTCCTCAAAATTGTTTTTTTGCCATCAATTTAATTTTAACACAGGCAGTTACTCAGTTTAAGGTAGCTCATAATATTTATTTTCAGCATGAAATAAGATATAACAATTTCAATGGCCACACTTCCATTGTTCACAATCTTTTCATGTACATAAATTTTTCATGCTTCACACTAAGAATTTTTTTTATGACTAGTGGTACTTAAAGATGTTTTTAAATTGTCACATAACAGCTATGATGTAACTACAAAACTAGCCAATTTATTCTCTATTATGTTTGTTTGAAACAGCCTTGTACATTCTTAACAATTTTGTAAATTTATTGAAAATGGTAATTGAATCATAGCGATCATCATTAACAGAAGATCTTAAAACATATGACTGAAATCTCTTTAAATATGTGATCACATTGTTATAAAGGTTTGTTACTGAACATTGTGAGTGAATAAAATAAATTGTGTGCTTTGCATGCGACCAAGGGATAAAATAAATAGATAGAAAAATAAATGGCTGAATTTTTGTGATTTTGCTCTATTATCCAAATCTTAAAATGACTAGACCACTTTGATCTGGGTCAAACATATAATAATTGATTCTATATTTTGATTGATTTGTCTCTTTGTTCAAATTAGGCATGTAAAGCCATTATTCAAATATTATTGATTGTATTATTCTGTGTCTACACAGGGATTCCAATATGAAACTAAACCTAACAGACTTCTAGTTAACTGTTCAAAATAGGAATTAAATCATATAGAGTTGACCTAAATCAAAGAGGTTTAATGTGTTTAAATGATTAAAAAGTTGAAATTTGCTGCCAGTTCTGAAGCCATTTCTGTCAAAATCAATATATCCCTGGCAACTGCTTAATAGACATTTAATCCAGTTTTCAAAATTTTTAGCATTTGTTTATAAAGCCTTGCCCCCATTTCTCTCATGGTATTTTAAACTATGATGTATACAAGGTAAACAAATTTCAACTGAATCAGCACAAATCTGATTATGGGTTTCAATATAGTTGGAAATAGGGTCAATAATTACCAAGGTGTAGATGTAGGTCGATTAGCTGCCAAACCTTCTTTCCTCCAATAACTCAACATATAAACAGCCCTGTACACATGCCAATATTCTGTGTTAAGCCCAAATGAGTTGGATCTATACATTCTGTCTCTGTCAGTATTTAGTTGTCACTGTGCTGATTCAGTTGAAAGAACTATGTAACTAACATAAAGGGGTAAATTTTGATGATGTAATAAAATTCCTTAGTTTATCTGATATGGAAAAGAAATGTACCTGAATCCACCAGTTTAATTAAAATTAATTCAGACTGTCATTTACTTTTCATTTTGGTTTATGTAGAAATGTAACAGTTACACTACAGAAAGGTCTAACAACATCTTCAATCAGGATTAGGTTTATGTTCAAGTGACCATAATTGACCTTCCATTTTGCCAACGCACAGACAATTTGATTCAAACTTCAAAGAGAACATTGAATTTATTATGGAAGTCTTTGAGATTTTCGTATGTTTTAGGCCAGCTAAAATTAAAATGGGAATAAAATAAAGACCAATTTTAATTAGATTGATGGATTCACAAAGGGCCTATACATTAAAAATGAGAAAGTATGCTTTACTTTCACATCAGGTAATGTATACATGTGAATATTTAGAGCGTTTGTAGTACATTAGATTAAACAAAAATATAATATTTGTTGTTATTTTCTCTTTGTTATAAGTATCAAATACTTATGTATAGATTTTAATTTTGTTAATATAATATCTATATAAGTGATTATTTTGTTAACAGTTTGATGTTTAATTTGATGGTCAAGAGGACTGACTTTGTATTTGTATTATTTTTATGCATTGTATTGCTTAAAAGTTAAATAGTTGCTTAATATATTAATATTTATCTGTTTGGGAAAAGTAATTATGTTTGGTATATTATTTACAATTTAAGGTGTGTCATCTTTTAGTCATATTTGCCAGTCGTGACTGAATGGTGGTGATATCAGGGGCTAAATGAGAGGGACGCAATGACGAGCTTTGCGTCATGGTTTTGCACCCCTTCGAAAATGGCAAAAGATCATGCAGTTACATAGCGGTTTTCAAGATTATAATCATAATGTTCCACACAGCTCAATATTACAAGGATGTAGAATGCATAAAGAGGATGTTTCAATCATCATATACACTAGTTTACTGACAACTAATTAAAATCATGTTATTGAAATTTTAAGATATACTGAGCCTTTTTCTCTTGTTATAATATTAAAATGTATGTACATGTATATATTTCATGATATACATGGACAATCTTAGTAATCTTTTTTTTATCCCTCTCCTTTCAAAGAAAGCAGGGGACTATTAAAATGGGTCCGTCTGTCTGTCTTTCTGTCCGTCACACATTTTGGGACACAATAGGTGCTTATTAGGTCAATACCTTGTTGGAGTTCGAAGATGAGCATTTTCTGCTCAGGGTAAGCAGAGATAAGCAATTTGGAACATAACAACTCTGCTTTTAATTGAGGTAGAATGGTTAAACTTGATGTAGATGTTCATTAAGTGAATGGCTTGACTGAGTTCAATGATTAACATTTCGAGTTGAAGCTAAGCAGAACTAATCAATTTCATTGGTCGATGCTTTGAGACAAGATAATCTTGATTCTATCTGGTAGAGAGGGATGAAACTTAGTGTGCAGTTTGATTGTTCGATACTTTTGAAATAAATAAATGGGCGATTAACTAATATGTGTCATCTATTTGGCTTGTTTCTCATAAAATCACGTTATAATTTTATAGAAATTACCCGAAAATCTTTCGATTGCCATGGTGCTGAAGTCATTTCTCCAGAGAGTTGATTTTTGTTATGCCTAGTTGCCTGACATATTTGTACATTTCCTCATGAAAGTGTCTTCCCTATTGACCCTTAGCCAAGAAAGGGTGTTATATATATAAACATTGTTTTAACTATAAGACTAATACTAGTAATAGATATAAGTACATGTAATTCTAATCCTACAGTATAACGGAATGATTATATTTATTTTATAGTAATCCAATATCATTTATTTGATACTTGTGTATATAAATTGGAAGAGGGATGTCTAAATCTTGTTAAGTGCTTTTCAGATAAAATAATTTTAAAAAAAATATTCGGTTGTCAACTTTTGACGGTTTTCTTTTTGAAAACATTTTATATTTGTTGAAATATTAAATACTGTGTTGTATAATAATGGTAATTGGGTTGTCTTCCATGCAAATTAGATCTCATTAAATATCATAATTACTAATGTTAACAAAAGCATAGACAATATACTAAAATTGTTTTCAAATTATCATGTTATCATATTGGAAATGGTTCATTTGTATTTTTGTTCACCGCATTTTAGAGAAAACGGGACTATTAAAATGGGTTTGTGCATCTATCTGTCTATCACACTTTTAAAATGACAATAACTATCACTAAGGACTGGGTATCATTCAGATTTGATGAAAAAAGGAAAGAAACTGAGCTTACCATCTATAATCTAATACACATCTTCAGTTAATAGATTGCCATGCAGAAAGTGTTAAATACTATCAAGATTCATCAAAAACCGCCCAGTTTGTGCTACCGTTTAGTTTGACATCGGTTGTCAAGTTTATGAAACTAAATGGTCATAAACTGGATGACCAATATCAAAACTAAACTAAATGGTCATAAACTAGATGACCAATGTCAAAACTAAATGGCGTTTCTTAAACTAAACGGTAGCACAAACTGGGAGTTATTTGATGAATCTTGATGGTATTTAACACTTTCTGCATGGCAATCTATTAACTGAATATGTGTATTAGATTATAGATGGTAAGCTCAGTTTCTTTCCTTTTTTCATCAAATCTGAATGATACCCGGTCCCTAGTGTATTCTTCTAATGAGGTAAAATGTCCATACTTGGTGATATATTCCTTAGGAGAATGTCTTGACTAAGTGTGTAATATTTAGAGAAATTCGGTAACTTTGATTCTAATTGAGTGAGAGTAATGAAAATTGGTGTAATCGTTTCATTACTTTGATAATCAGAAAGTAATTAAAATGTTTGTCATCTATATATCTTAGGATTAAAGCAGGGGGACATTAGCCCTACTGTTGGCTTGTTGTTGTTATATATCAATAAATTGCTTGTATATTATTCTGTTGGCTTGTTTTTGTTATATATCAATAAATTGCTTGTATTTTATTCCATTGTATTGGTTTGCATAGCTTGAAGTGGAATGCCTTAAAGTGTATTTAATTAATTTGGTATAAATATTTAATGTGGATTGGTAATAAC